ATCTTGCCAGAGAATTTAGAAGTTTCAAGGGGGGCGGGGAAGCAAAACAGAATGTCAGAAGCATGTTTGTGGTTGCCACCACAGGATAGGAACTACAGACTGTAGACAGACAATATGCTAACAAGTTCTGTTATTCACAATGGCACATTTATGGAGAGTCTAATGCTATAATCAATGATTACAAGCTCACACAAACAGCACTGGAATAACTCTACATGGTGTGTTCAGAAGTAAAATAATTTACAATCTGAAATCAATAGCATTTATAGACATTGGAAAATGTCACTTGGAAAAAAAGGATGCTAGTGTTTGTATTCTTCTGAAGCACTTTTTACTTCTCAGATTTTAGTTATTCCCTTAAAAATCTCCTGAAGGCAAAAAGCAACATCTCTCCAGAGTACGATTGTGAGGGAGCTGCTTCACAGACAGACACACGCATGATCAGGATCTGTACAATCTAAGATTCTTCTAAACTTTCTGCTTAAATGCATCCTTCTCCTGTTTTCCTTTTCTATGTGCTCCTTCCTTCTAGCCTACAATGCTTTTATTTGTAACTCTCCCCTCACTCTTTTAGGCCTTTCAGAACACAGGCTTTGGTAAAAAAAAAAACAAAAAAAAAACTTTCCACTGCAATGTACTGGTTTGATACATTCTTAAAATGCAATATCCTTTATATTTAAAAGTAACAAAAACTGGGGGGAGGTTACATAAGAATGCTCCTGCTACCCTTTCAGCTTTGCTATAAATGTAGAAACTGTCCTAAAACAACAAATTGCTTTTTAAAATATCAGTTATGTAACAGTTGGATTCTTATCTCTCACATAAAAGTATCCAGGAGTCTATATTATTTGGCAAAAAACAAAGGTACAGACTTGTAAATAGTAAAAAGAATTTCTTGAAATCTATTACCATCATTATTCTTATTGATTGTAATTTCCTACTGAGATGTAGCCACAATTCTATCCATCCTTCACCAAATGACTCAATATGCATAAAGTGTTTTCCTCAGGGTTTTATTTATGCTATCTTTAATCTTATAAAACACAGAGGAGCTTTCTTATTTGTCTGGTAGCAACAGTAACATATCTTATCATTTAAACAACGGACAAACAATCTCACTTTCCACCTAAACTATTAACTTCTGAGCCACATTGCTTCCTTCAATAAGTTTAATTTATTGATGCAAATGTTTCAAATGATCCTGCAAATAGGTTGTTACTCATCCTAAACACAAAAGAAAAAATTGTGATATTTTCTGGAAAAAGCTGTTTTAGTTATGAAAGCACACAACTGTCATTTCTAGTCTTTGCTGACATTTGTTTTAGGAGTCTGAAAGATATTTAGCCAATCGTCCATTAATGGAATGATGTCCAATCACCTTATGCACCACAAATTACCTATCAACTGAAAAGAAAAGAACGAAAATTTAATTTCAGGTTACTCCAGAAACTATGGCAACCAAGCTATTTGGCAGTCAAAGGGTGTAAAATCCAGATTAGATAGATGGATATATTTACATATTCACTTTTATATTAAACAGGGTGGATGACACATCCCTGTATAAAACCTATTATTTAAACACTTCAAATGAAAAGTGTTAAAATAAATGGCTCATGACTTATGAAGTGTTAAAATAAACATTTATTTCAACACTGTTCATGTCATAAGCCATTTATTTCAACACTTTCTACTTCAGAAGACTCACACAGACAAGAGACCACTCGTTCACCAAGAAGACGTCATGAGGCTAAGGTGTGGAGGATGAGTTCAGAGATTTCATGTCAGAGCTTTGGGTTGGGGACACTCCAATCAGGAGACAGAATGGAGGTCTCATATTAACACCTTAGGAAACTATGAAGATGTGGCAAACTTCTCATCAGCACCATGTATGTTGGCTGCATTGCCAACATAACATTTATCTCAGCTGGCTCTGAGACTCCAGGGCAAGACTGAGCATCAAGTTAGGAATGAAATGTACTGTTTTGGATAATTTTACAACATGACATATGTTCCATTTCAGGTCTCCACTTACTAGAGAACACAATAGAACCCAAAGTCTTCAGGGAGAATCAAGTCAGGAATTCTTAAACACAATAAAGGCACATGGGTTTTTTGTTTGTTTGTTTGTTTGTTTGTTTGTTTTGAGACAGGGTTTCTCTGTGTAGCTTTGCACCTTTCCTGGAACTCACTTGGTAGCCCAGGCTGGCCTCGAACTCGAACTCACAGAGATCCACCTGGCTCTGCCTCCCAAGTGCTGGGATTAAAGGCGTGCACCACCACCGCCTGGCACATGTTCTTACATTGCTTCCCATTGCCAGATTCCTCTCTTAGTGCTGTTCAAATACTCAATAATTCCTCACAGCACCGTAGAGGGTATTTTAGTTTCTCTCCTCTTATTCAGATGGAACAATCAAGTCTGGAGTGGCTGAGTAAGTCGACCAAGGGATAGTGTGACACTTGGTGGCACCAGGATTTGATCCCTAACACCTGTACTAGAGTCTACATCCCATTCCTGGGCAGGACTGCTGGCTTACAGCCACAGGCAGTCAAACTTTTCTCTCTCAAACTCTGGAAGTCATGGGGCTTTAAAAACTATTCTTCTTTTAACTTCCCAGCATGCCAAACCAATGGCATAAAAAGTTATCATTCATGAACAATCTCTAGATAAAAAGAATTAAGGCTATTTCAAAAATGAGTGTTTACTGGCTATATGAATGTTGATTTATTACTTGACTGCAAATCCTAATTTTTCCAGTTTTGCTCATTTTATGACCAATTTTTCCTACCAAACATTGAATATCTACAGTTGAAATGAGACTTTCTAGTAGTAATTGAATTATTTTCATTTTAAGGTACCTCTCATGACCCCCCCATCTAGTAAAATGCTTCCATTTTAAAGCAAACTATGTTCAAAAGCAACTTCTTATAGCTATCATTGGCAAGAGCTTCTCCTGATCCTCTAGATTTGTATTGCTGATATATGTGTTACTTTGTATCTTCTGATCTAGATCATCTTCTCTTTTCCATCCCATCCTCAACTCAGTGAGTACCCTTTGTTATCTCTTGATGACGGGAGGAGCTGTAATGATGGAAACACCAGGTAAGCATGGACCCAAGTATACAGTCTATACTGGGCTGTGAGAAGAACAGAGGATGAGATCACACAGTAGAATTGGAGATGAAGTTGATGTGCAAGTTCAAGGTCAAAGAAGCAAAACAAGAACTCCAAAGAATGGTGATTGAAGACTATGATTTGGAATGGTTTGGAAAAAGTGAAATACTATTATTTTCTGCTCACATTAAAACTCAGTGAGAGTTTCATGCTTATCTTTATTCACATTCTTTCCCCATAGCTGTGCCAATGAGACTAGCAAGACTGAAACTTAAAGATGATGTGGACAATAGATAATATCGATAGGTATGTGTACATCTGGTTACATACATATGAAGTTATCTTTCACTTCTGTCGTTCTTGGCAGGTAAAGAAAAAACTATCATCATTTTTATAGTTGAATGGCATACAATGTGACAGAAGGGCCTCATGGGAAGGAAAATCCATTTTTACCCTTTTACTTTCTTCAGCAGTGATTAGTTCTAGAAATGTAAGGCTTCATCACCTCACAAAATTCGCTGTATGTTACATACTGCTCCTCTGAAGCTGACAATACCTAATAACCATGCTTTATTCCTAAACAGCAATCAGTTTCAAGAATGGCAGTTGCTTGTAGAATGGTAAGGATAGAAACAGCTGATGAATATTATAGGCATCAAAATGTCACATGACAGATGCAAAGACTTCTTGCTATGAAAGAACACTCTTATATACTAATAGTTGGTAACTAGCCACAGCAGTTTCTAAATACTGAGGTTTTAAGATTTATGCTTCTTTTTAGGAAGGAAACGTATATGGAAGTGTTCATTGCTGACATATAAAATAAGATACAGGGGTATATAAAAAATCACAAAGAATGTATTGTGGCTAGGTGTGGCAACAACAATCACTTAATTGAACAGTACCTACACTAGAATCATTATTGAAAATATGAGTTGATAATGTGTATATTTACTACAAATATATATGTAGAATAGAAGCAAACGACTTACATTTAGCATGAAACCAAAATGTATGAGTAGTTTGTGGAACTGTAATATAGGTATATTTTATCAGATATATGGTACCAAAAATGTTGATTTTAATTTTCCCAGAGCATAGCTTCAGTTTCTACTGAAGAGACAAAACAGTTGTCTTACATCAATGCAATTGCATGTTTCTGTAGAGGAAATCTGTAGGTTTAACCTAGTATTTAATGAGGCATATCTAAATGTCATAAGTCGACAGCTTGAGAATTCAGGGAGGAAGTGATTTCCTGGAGGTACTTGAATGTGTGACCATCAAAGGCACAAAGTCAGGTGGGTGAACCGCAGGCATTTAGGATATCACAAGTATTTTGAAAGAAGGATGGAGGTGATGACAGAGACACTGTTCTTCTTTTCATGGATCAATGAGGTAGCTTTTTACCTTGAGCAGAGTTTGTACAATGGTCACGGATTTAGACGTCGGGGTACAGATAGCTGCTTGGTTGAGGCAATGTTAAGTCTTGAATGACTAACAAGTTTGACCAACAAGCTATTGGTGAAATGCTTGGTCTTCTGTTAAAGTAGATTCTGAGAGGGATTTCAATAGAAAGGAGAAAAGAGAGAAGAGGAGAGGAGTGAATGCATGCTTAGACATGCTGGGCACTGTGACATGGAGTTTCAACTTTACAGCATGCTGTCGTCATGACTACTCTTTTTGTCTACATTTATACACTGGAAATCACACCCATTCAAAAGTATTTTAGAAATGCCACTGCGCACATATTTTGCAATTAGGTGCCAAACAACAGTTGCTAATAGAGATAGAGATATGACAATCTTCTTTGAGAAATGGATGAAAAGAAGAGTATGCATGTAAAGGGCCAATTTGTGTCTCTCTCCTAACTTGCCAAGAAGGAAAATTAGAAGAGAAATTGTGCCAAAGAGCTATCCTATTTAAAGAGAATAACTGGAGAGAGTCGTTCCAGCAGCCTTTCTGATGACAGAAAAGGGTGTGAGCGTCCTTAGAAGATAAAAGCATGTTCTCAGAACTGAGAACCGGGGCCAGGCCAGCCATTTGGCATCCAGTACCTAACTGATCCCTCCTAGCAGCTCTGTGAATCTGATTTTTGGTATTATCTTCAATTCACTGGACAGGTCCAGGTCATCAGCTGGTAAGCGTGTTTCTGACATTTAAACTCAGTTCGTCCTTTGCATCCTTCACGCAGTTGCTGCCCAATAATGCCAGCATCATGGAACAACTGCAGCTTCTGAAGGGGATACCATCTGTGTTAACAACTTTTTGTCATTTCTCTTTCTATTTTCACTGCTTGACCTTCTTTTTTTCTTTCCTCTTCCTCTTCTTCTTATCTTTTAAGAGCAGAACTAAGTATTCCAACCTCTAGGGCTAATTACTCAATCAACTTAAACCATCATGTTCCTTTTTGTTTTGTTTTAAAAGAAGCAAGAATATTTTGAATGAGCAATGCCTCCCTGACTGCTTTTATATGAACTCCTAAGGGAAGGAGAAATGTCAGCATGTTGATTGCAGTTCTCTTTACCGGAAGTATAAAGAGGGTCAGCTGTACAAAACCCTGGGCATAGTCAGACAAGCTTCTAAGCCTTTGGGTCACCATTTCCTCTCACATGAGATGAGGCCAAGGAAAACGTCCATCTCAAAGAGTTAAAGAAGAAACAGTATTGAGAATGCTTCGCAGAGCATCATAAGCCCCGAATAAAGGTTAGATTATATCTTCAGCTTCATCATCTTCAGGCTGAAAGATTAATAAAATCCATTTTGAAATTCCAAAACAACTGAAAATCACTACAGTTTCTTCCAGACTTTGAGGGAAATTACATTTTAGCTTTAGAAATGCTATTCTATTGGAAGGTGGACCATTTGAGTGTTTAGAGTTATAATGAAAAGTAAATTAATCATTTGTGATTCATATTTTGTCTTAGCTTTTGATGGAATCCTCCAAAGAACGAGCAATTTGGGGTACATTTATCTCTTCTGGAAGATTTATACAGGATACGATCATCCTTTTTTCTTTAGGGAAATGGAAATTATATATGACATTTTCTGATAAAGGAGATAATGCCTGATTTAGCCATTTTCCTTCTAGATCCGTGCTGGGAGAGAAAACAATGTGTGTTTTACTTTATTTATAATGTTCACTGTGAACATGAGAAGGACTGATACATTCTCAAGCCAAATTAATCCACAGCCATAGCATTTAAGATCCACTGCAAAGCTCCGATTCAAGTGTACAGTATCAGAGGGAAAGGCAAAGCAAATGGGGTAAGATAAGAGTTCTCAATCTTGGGTAATAGTGTCAGTGCAAGACTTGAGCTCTGTTAATTCAACAAGCTTGATCTTGATTGGCAAAGCATGCTTGTCAATATTTAGCTCCCAGGGGGCATGTCAGAGGCCTTCACAGGACTAGCTTAAATACGCAATACTATAGCAGGATTTGTGATCTTTTTCCTAATACTCAGATTAGAGAACAGATTTTTTTTCCCTTTCAGCATTTTATGCCAGAAACGTGTTTTCCATACTCCTATAGTAACAAGAAAGAGAGAAATTGCATAGAAGAATTATCGATGCCATTATTAGGGTTTTTGAAACCCAGATAAAATTCTGTCACATGAAATCACTTTAAGGCTTTTATCTGAGGTTTGAAATACAATTTCCCCCCACTATGATTACAATACAAAGAAAAGCTCAAGGAGAATGTTAATCTGAACTCAGAAACAAGTGTAATACAGATGAGATGGTGGGTAATGATTCCTACAAACCTAAAAACAAATAGTTTGCAATTTAAAGAGTCTTATGCCACAGTGATGCTGAGAGGGTTTAAAGCTTTTATAGCTATTATTTTTTATTGTTTAAAGTGTTGAATCATTAAAGCGATTGCATTTAAGAAAATACAATGAGGATCAATCTTATGCTAAAACCTGATTCCCTCTATGGTGATTTATAACAAAACATGGAATGAACAGAATGTGTGTGTGTATGTGTGTGTGTGTGTGTGTGTGTGTGTGTGTGTGTGTGTGTGTGTGTATGCTGTTTTCTGTTGTGCACTTGCCTTTGACACATGACACTTCTGGTACAGCAGATATAGACAGGAAATCTTTACTTTCATTTTTTGAGCCTGCTAAAAATAATCTATAAAATTGATTAAGATGAAGCTTTATTATAGTAAATAAAAACAGGACATGTTAAACGTAACTCAGATGATTGAAAAGTTACCTCCATGATTTGGAGATCAAATTGTTACATATGTTATGTTCTAATGTAGTTACAAATGACATTGATGTGATCCGTGACTATTTAATTCAAACTCACATCCAAAAGTGAAAGCAGAGCAAAGCTGCATTAATTGGAATCCATCGGGTTGAAGCAGCAGGAAGAATCGGATCATGTTCTAGCTTCTTTTGCTTTGCTCTGATGGGCCATCCTAAGTTTTCTGTTTTAGTTTGTTTGTTTAGTTAAAATATAATTACAACGTTTCCTCTTAGCTCTCCTCTCTCAAACCTTTCCCTCCTCCCCTCCACCCTCTCACACACCTCCCTATAATCAAATTCGTGACCTCTTTTTCTGTGATTGTTGTTTCATGCACACACACACACACACACACTTCATACATATAAGTGCCTAGTTATATAAATACGACCTGCAGAGTCTGTTTAGTGTTGCTTGTACACACATGATTTCAGGAATGACAATTTGGCGTTGTATCACTAATTGGGGGCCTTATCCCCTAGAAATTAGTTTTCTATCTCTCAGCTTTTGTTTTTTGCCTGTAGTTCTGTGTGAAGGGGTGAGGCCTATGAGATTTCCCCTGACATGTTAGCATGTCTATTGGTATTGTCTTTGTTCTGCTTTTGATGGGCAGCCACATTGCAGCTCTTACCACTTACCAAAAAGCTTCTCTTTACAACAGAGACCATCATAGAAAAAAAAAAAAACACAACTGGTCAAAATATAGAGAACAATTTATCCTGGGGTGCCCATCCCTGATTGATATGGCTACAAGAGAATTCCTGCACTGAAGGCTCTTGGGACATCATAGAAGACGGTGCAAAATGATTGATTGTAAGATACAAAGAAGGGGGATTGTCTGGTGTGAGGCTGTCTATTAAAAATGACAACCCTAGTTGTTAATAGTAATTTTAACACTTGGATTTTTTTTGTTGTTGTAATGAAGATTATACCTGAGACCTTATAAATGTTGTACCAGTACTCTGCCACTGAGTATGTTGCCATCTATCTTAATATTTTTATTTTCTTCATATTTTTAATTTAGAACCAGGATTCACTAAGTAACACAAGTTGGACTTGAAATCACTGCAAGTCCAGGATGGGCTTGGGCATCAGACCCCCTGCCTCAGCATCCTGTGTGGATAGGGTTATAGGCATACTCCTGCCTCAGCATCCTGAGTAGTTGGGATTATAGGCATACTCCTGCCTAAGCATTCTGAGTGGATGGGGTTATAGTCATGCTCCTGCCTCAGCTGTCCTGAGTGGGTGGGGTTATAGGCATGCAACATCAGGTCCAGCTGGATTTTAATACTTCAACAGCAGATTTCTCTTCTCAAAGTTGATATATTTCTGAGTTAATAACAAGAATGATTTACTGAAACAATGCTAGTCCTTTTACCATACACACATTGCTAAGTGAGGGCAATTGTGTAGAACCGCTCTTTGGTTCCCTCTGGAACAATGAGCAGTGACAAATACTTCCATCACAGCACATGACTTAAACTTCCTTCAATGGTAAGAGACTTTCACTACTACAGAATAGATGAGAAATGGCACTCAGGTGGTCAAGTGTGCACAATCCGATACCTCACACCAAATTTACTTTTAAATCAGGACTTAAACCTGGGTCTGGTCATTACAATCCTACTTTTTTATCAACATACAAGAAATGTCTTAATCAAGGTGAAACAAACAAGAAATGAACTTCTAGTTTCTTGTGACAAAAGTCTAGTTGTGGGAAAGATATGCTTTTCATTTATATTTTTGTCTTGCCTTAAAAAAAATCAATTCTCACTCAAGAAATAAAAATGGAGAGCTCATGCTTTTTAATGATCATTTTCTCTTCAGATGTTACCAGTACTGGATGCTGGGAATCCTAATTGGAAATTACATCCTATTATTCTTGTTCTTGTCCATCACATTTCAGCCTCCCTGGTATTTATTTGCTTTTCTGAAATACCTAAACTCAGGGCTATGTCCTTTGTGTGTCTCTACCCTCTAATTGGTGTTCTAAATATCCACAAAACTGAATGACTATCACTCCTCATCCTGTGTATTGCTGCTCAAATGCCATGTCTGCGGCACTTACATCAAGCCCCGATGTAAATAGCCTTCCTTTTTTCTACTAAATTCTAGCACTTGGGTTTGTTGTTTTCACAGCTGTTGAAGTAGCTGAGATTATCCTGTTTATTCTCCTCATCAAGTGTTCTCTGCTTCCTGTCATACTCATTGCTTCATGTTCAGTTAAGAACAGTATTGAGCATGTGGCTCATTCATAAATATGATTAATGGAAGGATCACTGAATGAGAATCATTTTAGCATCCAGATGTAACACGTCTTATTGTGTTTGTCTTGTTGCTGTGACAAATACCTGATCAAAGAAACATAAGGATGGAAGGATTCATTTGCCTTATGGTTCCAGTGTGCTATTCATTATGGTGGGGAAAGGCACAGTGGCAGGAGCTTGAGGCTGCTGATCGCACTGCATCCACAGTGAGGAAGTTCAGCCAGCTTTCTCCTTGTCATGCACTCCAGGACCCCAGCCCATACAATGGTGATGCTAACATTTAGGGTGATCCTTCCCATCACTATTAACCTGATCAAGACAACCCTCAAAGGCATACCCAGAGGCTTGTCTCTTTGGTGAGTCTAGGTCCTGTCAATTTGACAAAAATTAACAATCACACCTACCATAAGTCAAGATTCTGTGGGAAATACCATGATTAGTCTCTGGGGTAATTTGAATACTTGTTTTCTACAAATTTAATGTGAAAGTTGAGCTGCCATTGGAATGATATATGGAGAAGAAACCGTTAAGAGACGCTTAGGTCATGAAAGCTCTAGATCAGGGCCACTATCTCCAGAGGGAGTGGCTTAATTAGCACAGGAGCTGGTCAGCACTTTCTAGG